AGCACGGCCGCGACGCCCGCCGCCGGGTTGTGCCCAGCCCTTGGGGCCTGGGGCAGCGTTTCCGCGGAAGAAAGAACAGCTCTTGGGGTTTCAAGGGAGTTCCGTGCTCGTTGCGCTAGCAGCTAACTCAGCCAGTCATATTTATCGCGTGGGAGCAAACCTATTATTTGACTTGTTTTATTACTACTCCAGATTAGTGGCATAATGCGGCGCGTTACTCTTCCATTCTATGTAGCGGCACTGCCTGCCTAAGCCAAGCAAGGTATAAACTAAGTACAAGGTAATGAGCAGTGAAAATCAAATAAATACTTATTTGCTGGAGTAGGGCATTTTTGTGACAAAAACTTGCATGGACTTCATAACCAGCAGCCAGAAAATATTTCTCTACCAGATTTTTTTATTAGCCTTGATCCAAAATGCCTATGTACAAATATGATCTACCTTTTGATTTTATTTCTCATAGTATTTGTTCTATTTTTTTGACTTTTGGTTAATATGACAACTAGTATGTGACTGTCTACATTAGAGATAAATCAAACTGGCAGTTGTGGAATACATTCCACATTGCTTACTCAAACCTGTAAGAGTTTAGGGGAAAATGTACACTGAGCAGACAGGTGATTCTTGGTTTGCTGATCAAAGTCTGTAAATGTAGGTATAGTTTGCCATCATTATTAATGCTATGTTCTCCTGTTCTTTCTTTTAAACCTAACCCCAGAGTTAATTTTAGTCTTATGTGAGCCCTTTCCAGAAGATCAATGGCATGCAAAAATCTGGAAGTGATAAATAGCCAAAAGCACCAGATACGGTAACTCCTCTATAGTAAAGATGTACAGATGTAACGTAACTTTTCCGTTTCCTCTCTGCAGGCTGTAGACTAGAAGAGGGAATTTGGACAGCTATTTTATTCTTGTAATAAATGTGTACCTAAAATCATTTGTACTTCAAAGATGAATGATTTATTTTGCTGCCAAAATGAGGCTAATCTACCAAAATATTGAATGAAATTTTCTGACTCTCAGATGCTGTTTGTGTATATGTACAGTGTAGGTGTATAAGGCTATATAGAGTATGTATCAATCTGTGCACATGCACACACACTCACCCACCCACACATATACACTCAAACATGTCCATGTCATTCAAGCAACTGATCTACTGAAGCCAACACTATTCTCACAAGTAAGAATTTTTTTAAGGTTTATGAAAACTGATATTTTTCCTTCGGTTGTGTGCAAAGTGGTTCTCAATAACTTTATACACATATGCCTACATGTGTCCTCTTTTATATTGGGGAAAACACATCCAGCTCCACTGATCTCAGCAATACTGTTGAGTAAGAGTTGCATAATTATTATATACAAACCCCTGCTGACTCTACCTTCAGATGAAGGCTCCTATAGGCAAGGAGACTAGGATGTGGTCTGTTTTTTGAGAAAAAAACAGTTATATGCAACAGGAGAACTGGTGGGTTCTATATGACACCTGAAAAAATAACATTACAGATAACAGTAACCCAGGCCTTATGGAGAGTTTCATAGACCTGCAAGAGCTTCTCATACGATGATGATTCCCCCTTTTACAGGTGAGAAAGCTAAGGCAGGGAGAGGTGATTTCGCTTCACTAAGATCACCCAGCAGGTTAATGGCAACACTAGGAACAAAACCCAAATTGTCTGAGTCTTGGTTCATTCTCTCCAGGCTCCCAAATATAAGAAATGCAGCAGTTAAGCAATGACCCATTTGTCAACTTTCATGAGGAAGATTAATCTGTATAATAAATTTGTCACGTGTATGCATACATTTTTTATCATGACCACTTCAGAAATAACTGTTTTGTAAAGAAAGTTTAATTTCTTAAGCCTGCACTACAGAACTGCAAGATAAATTATCCACTGATTTCCCTCTTCAACTTAAGTGCACACTTACCTTTAATGACATGCTTACATGCTTTGCTGAATCCAAAGCCTCAGTTACTGAGGTCAGGAGGACGATGACTGGTAGACTTTTAAGATATTAGCTCCCATAGAGGCATGAAAAACTGAGACAGTGCCAAAAGTTTTCAGTGCCCAGCAGGTCTATTTGTAGCACAGATTTTCAGAAAGGCTGATGCCCGGATCTCTTTGCTTTTGGGTTGGTTTACATTATCATTTTAGCTTGAATCAGGAGTGTGCTATTGAAGCAAATGCTTCAATTGTCCCTACTCACCATGCTCTGATTTGTATTGCAAAGCCGTCACTGGGCACACAAACTGGATTTCTCTTGAATGAAACTAAATACAAGACGTGCTCCTGGAGGACACCTAGCGCTTTTCAGGCACTAATGGGTATTCAGTCCATGATGTCTGACTAAACTTAGCTCAGAGCAAATCCTGAAAAAGTGTTCAGAATGGAAGTCAGGTCCTCAGCACCAGTTGTTCCTTTTTACAGATGTGTTTCTATGGTATTGTACTATTTGCTCACGTGGCCGTAGCCCTAGATATCTAGAGCATGGCAGAGCTCTTTTGAACCCTTAAGAGGTGAAGGAGATAACATAAGTACCTTTGAGATCAAACCTTTGCTGTTGTTTAACAGATAAATATTGGCTTTTGCAGTATAACGTTTTTTAGAATGTGTTTAGATCTTTGGAATTAATAAGTGATAATTCTTTCAAACAACCTTCCAAGTTGTTACTTTTTATGCATGAACTTCCTGTCTCCTTCTCTTGCTTTTTAATCTTCTTGCGGAAAAAATAACCAGAAGTACTACATAACAGTGAGTTTGAGCGTTACACATAAGGCACTTCTTAAACAGATGCTGTAGTGAGCTGCATCCCATGTGTTGTGAGCAAACCTAACTTCAGTTTGACCTCTCATTAGTCACCAGTTCCAAGACCTGCATTAGCAGATCCAGGCGACATCCTGATTGCTTTCCTTAGTCCTCTGAGGAGCTACAGAACCACTGGAGCAGAATAAATGAACAGATTGCAGATAATGTTGCCATGTTCAGACACCAATACAGATTATGTTTTCTGGATATACATTTTCCCATCTTCTGTTTATTATTCCCTTGATGTATTGGTAACAAATCAAATCCTTGTTCTCTTTGTATGCTGACTTCTTAGAGATGTTAACTATCTCCAGCTCCTATTAGTCTCAGAGATGCGTGAAAGCTGGCTGATAACCATATGGCCAGATTGTGCTATCTAATTCTGGAGGGAAGGGAAAAGTGGTACTTTGCCATGGAAGTCAGCGGTGTTCTTTGCTGAGTAAAGACCCAGTTCAAATCAGGACTTGAAAACCTGGCCTTATTAAAGTTAGATCTAGGTACCATGACTGAAGTTAAAAACTAGACTAAATATTTCCCAAAACAGGGAGAACTCAAACATATTTTGATATATTCTTCTGATTTGTAGTCCAAGACATTATTCAGCCTGAGAAAGGAGGAATATCTTCAGTTGTTGGAGTTTACGCTCTAGTCACTATATACACAATGCAGATATCAGTCAACTCTTTGCTAACCTGAACTTTTAATGAAAATAACGTCACAAGATTTCAACTTTTAGCTCTACCAGTTGTTAGTACTAATACAGAGTAAGATGTCCTTCATCACAAGTGTAACAGAAAAGCCCTACTCTCTGTGTAGCTTTATCAGGACGCCTAATGGGACACAGTGCCAAACGGTTCACTAGGTGGACTCTAGTGTAACATATGTGCTGGTGTCTATTTTTGGCCATTATCTTCCACAGAAGCCTCCAGGAAGAGACCCACACTTTTATTTCCCCTTCCTCTGCACCTCTGCAGTTGCTTCAAGGCACACACTACATACTGGGGACTGCTTGGTGATCAAAATGTGTGTCACTAAAGCAAGACAGCCTACATAACATCAGGATTCAGCATATTGCCTTCACATTGCATTTCTGCTAGGTGGGCTGGTTAGCACTAACCAAATCCATCCAAGGAAATAAACAGCTCCAAGATCATGACAATAAATCACTCGATAGTAGACTATCAAAACTCTCCACAGACACTCATCTTGTGTGTATAAACTCTGACCCTGTTTGCTGGAGTCAGTGCTAAAGTCATACTGACTTCAGGGCTGTAGGATCAGATGAGGGTACCTGTAAAGGACTGGGGTGCCCAAACTGCACAGAAGAATTAGCAGTTCTGTCCTAGGCTTCCTGTGCCATACGTGGGGGACATGGGCACCTCCAAAAAGAGTTTGACAAAGGCAGTGCCGTGAGCAGGGCAGTATGTGATGTGCAGCTATCTGAAGCTAATTCTTTACCACTTCAATCCTCAGTCTTATTTCCCCTTCGAAATCTGCTTCAGGACTGATGCAGAGTGGTGGACCTTCTGACTTCTTTCGGAGCTAAATGATGTATGTGCACTCTAAAAAAAAGGGAAGAACATTGCGGGTACCATCCTCATCCTCCTGTTTTATAGAACTGGTTAAAAACCTACCCAGAAAGTACAAGATCCAAATGTGGTTTCACAAACAGAGTGAGATATGCTGTAACCACCACAGGTAACCTTTTCAGCAGGTGAGGATCTCTGTTCCTCTCCTCACTCCAAGACCTCTTTCAGCAATGCAGCAGTTTATTGTGTATACAGAAATACTCTGGAACTGGTTTTGCTGATCCAGAGAAATGGGACAGGAGCTGCTGCTGGTCTTCCCTGTCTAGAACACTTGATCCCTAGTCTGTGCAGTGCTGTTCAATTTTTTATTTTATTTTATTTTTTTTAAGTGTTGCAGTGCCTATTGCCCAGGACAAAGTTAATTCCCTTAAAGGGCTGCAGATCCATTATGCTGAGACATAAACAAAACACCTAAAAACTGGGGCAAGCTCCAGGAACCTGGGGGACATAAAGATCACAATATGACACGTCTACAGTTCCCGCGCGCCAATCAGTCAGCTGTTCAATAGGGCTGTAGTGATGGTAACTTTGAATATAAGGACTTACGTTTTGCTGAAGGGAATTTTGCTAGCACTTCAAAAGGGTGATTAGCAAGGAAATGACTGAAAAACAACCGTGGTTGCAAAATTTAACATGGTTGCTTGTCCTTCACCAAGGATTTGCCCCTTACATCTTGACTCAGCATGGCATGATTTTAGGCTTATGCTGCTGTAACACAGGTCTGTACACTGGTTCTCTGATAATACTTGATTCTAGCTTTAGGTGACAGGTTCACGAAAATTTGGATTAGTGTGTGACTATCATGTTACACTTTGCTATATTAGGCCAGACTAGATACTCATAACAGCATTGTCTGGTCTTAAAATCTGCTGTTCCCTATCCTCACTGCTATTATTTGACTCAGCACTTCTTTTTTGGCCCCAGACTTGTGCAAGCGTCATTTCCCTTTATTTTTTTGGCTTTATTGCTGGAGAAGGGTGGAGAGTTTTTGGCTTCTTTCTCATTGTTTGGGCACTTTCAAGCTGATAAAAATCAGTTCTGCTGGGCAACTCCTCAATAGCTCACATGCTAAAGTGGAGAATATTGAGCAACTTTTTCCAGACTTTGCCTGAGATTCAGTCAGTTAAAAGACTACGCATAAAACCTTCAGTTGAAAGGGGAAAGTCGCTTTGATGAAAGTCAGGAATTTAGATTAAAACACAGTTTATTTTCCCAGCGTTGACAGTTAAAGGATAGAAAAAGATGCTGTTTTATTAGGACCAGGAATCCATTTCTTGATCTTAGAAGACTCATTTTGTGGAGGGCAGGAAGCTGTGCTGTAATGACAAGATCAGAGAATTCACTTCTCTTTTTTTCTTTTTGTGAGGAAGCTCTTCATAGGAAGAGAAAAAGCAATAGCAAATTAATATAAAAAGAAACCTGGTACAGTATATAGTTAGTCAAATGTGAATGCTCCAAATCTTAATCTAAATCCTGTGAGCTCTACCCATACAAGTAGTCCATTGATTTCAGTGGTGTAATTCTGAATGCAGGCAGACTTTACTCACTAATAGGAATTTTGTGTTTCTGGCAACAGAAGAAAAGTAGTGGATCCAAAATGAGAAAGCATAGTACAACCGCACCATTAATGAAACATTTAGCTTTATGTTTGTGACCTTTTGCTTACTTGAGGGATTAATAAGCACCCAGGCTGTTCGACTTCAAGGCAATCTGGAGGTGATCCATTACTTAATCTGTTTTCTAAAGCTAGTCTATTTTGGGCACTGAGTTCCAATTCACCTATAACTGTGGTATGTAAAAGCTATCTTTTATTAGGCTTCTCTATGACTCCCATTGTGAAAAACTCAGACAGGCCAGAACAGGGAACATCCCTTTTGTTGCTGGGTGATTACAGCACCTGTTGGAGCCCAGCCGCAAGTATTCAAGGAAGTCCTAGATATAGAGTCTGATTTCTTTAACAGTGTCTCCAAGTATACTTTTAAGAGGCTTCCTCCTGTCTTGAAATTTAAGGCCCTGAGTAGCTAGTGGAAAAACATAGTCTTCATAACCTCACACTTTATGATCGCCTGGTTTATTTTCATTCCGTAATTGATTCTGTGTTGATAATTTTTTTTTCTTTTCCCAAGCCTATAACTTTTCATATAGAAATGTACTTGCTGAGAGTTATACTGCTGGAGCTTGTTAATTCTTTTTTTTTTTTTTTTTTTTTGAGTATTTCAGAAGAAAGAGTTAAAGGCATATATGATGTAAGGAATTGGTGTTCCAACTTCAGCTTTGGCCAACAGATGGTGAAACAAACATTGTCAGCAGACAAGCAAGATGACAGCAGCAGGGAAAATATGAATAGTAATAACAAAACACTAATAATATGTCCATTACTCTAAGAGAGGCCCTAATTCAGCAACATATTCAAGCGTGTGCTTCAGAGTCTTTGACTTAAGATCAAGTGCTTGATGGGTTAGCCTTAAGGAGACATTACCCACTTTATGTTCCTAATGTAAAATACATCACTTGACTTAAAACGTTGCAGTTAACTTTCTGTAGTTATGAGAAAGCCATTGCGTGAAATTGGTTAATGTGATTGCCAAAAAAAAGTAACTGAATTCTGCCTGCCTGCCAGCCTACATGTGTATCCATCATTTGTTTCAAGAATATCAGAGCACCCTTCATCCCAGCTAGCTCTTCCATAACCTAGAGTTTAGGTTAGAAGATTTTAAAGGCAGATAATCTAAGCGTGTAAAAGGTGTCAGAATCAATGGGTATTCTAATGAATTTGCGAGTCCAGGGTGAAGCCTTGGCTTTGTTAAATTAATGCGTACTTTTGCCACAGACTTAATCTCAGTCAAGCTTTAGCCGTGCACACACATGCTCACACATGCATATATCTATATATACAAATGCATGAATAATACATTTTTGCAATGGTATTGAGAAGACCTTTTAAAGCAGATGTCTGATTATATAAATACAAATTATAAATATAGTCAGACATCTGTTTAACAAATTATAAATACATTCAGACATCTGCTTTAAGAATGTCTTTCCAATATTTTTGCAAACATAACTAAGTGACAGAAATGATTCAGGGCTGGATGCAGAAGTGACATGGATGGGGGAGGGGGAGGCTGCCCAGGCATTCAGCTGTTCCTGCTGCCTGTGACCATATGAAGCGAGTAGTGGCCCAAAGGCCCCTTCTCCAACCCCCACCCCGGGTCATATAACAACATGTCTCATTCAGCAAGCCCAGGCCTCCAAAATAAGATCCTGACACAGATAGCACCTTCTAGGAGGACGTTACAATTAGTAATAAGTACCCCCCGTACATTAAGGTATATTTGAGTCTTACTTTACACAGTAGAAATACCGCAAAGAGAAGAAGACATAGGTTGATGAAGGTGATGCAGTAAGTCCATGCCCCAGCCAGGAGGACAGCCTGTATTTCTTGACACCAAGCACCGTGCTGTAGCCGTGCGCCTTGTGGCAGGGGCGCCTTGTGGCAGGAAAGGGTCGTTGTGCTAATTGTGTCCCTGGTTCTGTTGCAGATGTATTGTGAGAGGTTTATATGTATCCTGAGAATACTTGGAACCACGCTCTTCGGGGTGTCCCTCCTGCTTGGGATCACCGCTGCTTACATCGTTGGCTACCAGTTTATCCAAACGGACAATTACTATTTCTCCTTTGGACTCTATGGTGCTATCCTGGCATCACATCTCATCATCCAAAGCCTGTTTGCCTTCCTAGAGCACAGGAAAATGAAGCGATCACTAGAAACTCCAATCAAGCTGAACAAAACAGTTGCCCTTTGTATTGCTGCCTATCAAGAGGATCCTGACTACTTAAGAAAATGTTTACTTTCTGTGAAAAGATTGACCTACCCTGGAATTAAAGTTGTTATGGTCATTGATGGGAACTCGGAAGACGACGTTTACATGATGGACATTTTTACAGAAATCATGGGTAGGGACAAATCTGCCACTTATGTCTGGAGGAATAACTTCCATGACAAAGGTCCAGGTGAGACAGACGAGTCTCACAGAGAGAGCATGCAACATGTATCTCAGCTGGTCCTATCCAACAAAAGTGTTTGCATCATGCAGAAATGGGGTGGAAAAAGAGAAGTAATGTACACAGCATTCAAAGCACTGGGGAGAAGCGTGGATTATGTACAGGTAGGTATTAAAGTGCCAGGTCAGTGCCAATTCAAACACACTTTGAGAGAAAGCAGCTTTTGTATATTTTGTGCGGCATGTTAGAGCCCATCCTAGTCCCTTAATGAACACAGTGCTCCTTTCAGTCTGTTTGGAAACAGCTTGACCGTTAAAAGTATATTTTGCTACCTTTTAAAATGGTCGGCCTATCTGTGAATATGTTAAATCTGTGCACCAGCTACTGGAGAAATCTGAAATACTTCAGCACTGCTCCCGTATCAAAATGGTTTTGCTTCAAACAAGGCCATGGCCTCCTGAAGACCCTTTCTCTAGTCATATAAGTCAAGATTTGAGGTAACTTTTTGTTTTATGAAGATGTTAGCAGCCCTACATGCAAGCAGGCAGTAAAGTATTTGGTGGCTATCTCAGAGCAGAGATGGAGTCTGTAAAAAAGATAGTCATATTTTAAAGTCTTCGAAGGCTGTGTGGACTATTCCATAAAAGGGTCAATGTGCAGCTTTGAAAGAAAGATTTCTTCAGCTAAAGCCTGAAGGAGCTTTTGCTTCATCACTTACAGCTAGCTGCATTACCTCACTCACCACGACTTGGCCTTTAAAGCCCTATGACACTATTCACTTAAGAATGAGTTAGGCTGGGTCCTCTCTCCCTGGCTCCAAAGCAGCAGAGACTCATTTCTTTCCAGCTGCCTTGGATCCCATGAAAGATTTTCTATGTTTTTGCCTTACACCTGGAAGCACTCCTTGCTCCTGAAAATAGTCCTGTTGACTTCAGGAAATAGAAGAGGACTTGCTCAGAGGAAGGCTTGTAGGATCAGGGCCTTTGTCTGGACACTGAGAATAATGAGCTGTCGATCAAGACCAGCAAGGCTCGTTTGACTGATCCCTCAGAATATGAGATGAGCTTCCTAATTACTCAGCCTCGACCTGCCTACCTTCTCCTGACCTCAGACTTCTTCCCTCTGCTCCACCTTTAGCACTCTCCTCTTGTGGGGCGGCAGCTACTTGCAAAGTGCTCTCTCTGGGCCCCGGGAGGTGGTGTGGCTCAACTGTAGACGTCTCAAGCTAGTGCCCACTGTTGTGCAGGCCTATGTGTGCACAGCATGGATAGCATGGCAGATGGCTGGTCTCAGAGCCGCAAGCTCTCCTAAGACAAAACAAACAGAAACTGAAGAGCTGCTGGGAACTGGTCTGTTATCAGACCTTCAGGAGTAAGGCAAAGATTTAAAACTCGTCCTCTGCCGCTTCCAAAATTCAAACTGATTTATTCTCTGAAAATAATGGGCTTAAGTTCTCCATTGTCTTCACTTTGGTTTTGTGTTGTGAGGTTCTATGATGGGTATAAAAATGCTATTGTTCTGCATTAGCATAGTTTTCTAGTCACTTTGCACAGGAGTATCAAATTGCAGACAGAGAAGGCAGGGAAACTGATTCATTACAGTTTTCTTCCCTTAGTTTAGCTCAAGAAAGCTGGAAAAAGTGTTTGTATTTAAACAGGCATACCCTAAACGGAGAAAATGGAAGAGATATTTCTGTTTTTTTCAGTCAATTAACACTCCTGACCTGACTCGAAAGTCCTAATGAACGTTTCAGGAACTGTAATGCTACTGTAAGGCAGCCACCAAATGCTGCACTAATGGTTGATATCAAAGTCACAGCTACAGTCACATCTCTATTATAAATGCAGCAACGTGGTGGTCCTGGTTACTATACAGCGATTACAGTGACGATGCAACACAGATAAGACATTGTTCAGTTGTATGAATGAATGAAAGTCAAGATTTTCCAAATGATTCTTTGGTCAGACCTAGAGCAAATTACTTAAAATTGGCCTTACTTTTTAAGGGCTGAACAATCTTTGTTGATGATCAAGCACTTGAAAAAATGGACCAGTCAGCACGATTGCCAACTCCTGAAACTGTTCACCTCAGAGTTCTTAAAACATGCCTAAGGGTTATGGATAGAAAATCATAAGCAGTCAAGTCAATGTAGATAAATTAGATGTTGCTCATTAGAAGAGTCTTGTTAAATAACTGAAACTACTGTGAAGGCTTTACCTCCCTCTTGGAGGAGGTTAAGAGGGTGCAAGTGATCAGTTAGTGCAGTTAAACTGACAGAGCATATTCTGATGATCAGCACTCATTGTGTCAAACGTCTTTGGCATTAGTCTGTCCTCTACTGCTATCAAGATCTTGAGTGATAGCTGGGTAAAAATAGCCTGCTGTGCTTGGCTGCAAAGACCCTAGGGACAGTATTCATCCCACCAAACGTGCAGACTCACAGCTGAGGAAGTTACCCTGGGCTCTCCTTATAGTCAGTGCAGAGCTAGATGAAACAGCAGAATTCAGGGTTTAATTCGTCCCAGCTTAATGCAGAAAACTCTATGACCCTGGGCAGTAAACTCTAGGTCACTCAGCCCTTATGTGGAAAGATGGCAAATTGGCTACGGGGTGGTGCTGGGCCAGCCCTGACTGTGCAGACTTTGGTGTGTTTTATTAGGACTCCAATGTGTCTGCCTTCCTCTGGACATGTCCTCTTTTCACCTGGAAAAACCTAATCTAGATGGAAAGTGACAGCTTCTCAGGTTTGCACCAGAAGCCCAGACACGTCCACTGTGCTGCCATGCCCGGGACATATGCTGGTAATTTGTAAATAAATCCGATGTGTTCAGGATTCCTCATGTCATATTAGCAGTGTTGCTCACCGGCAGGTTTTTCTGCTGTAGATAGACACGTCTGACAGGATAGCAGTTGCTTTGCTGCGTGAAGTTACGGAGGAGCTGAAGGGAATGCTAAAGAGCTGGGGACTGGACTAATCTCAGCTGATTGCTCACAGACAGAGGAAATGGTGAGGTATATCACATCAGTGCTCTCTACCCGAGGCCATGGTACTCAGCAAATTGCAGAGCTGCTGTGTGAAGCACTCCAAGACATGTCCAGGAAGGCCCAGACAGACATATAGGGCATTCTTTCTTCTCTTCAGCAGACTTACTTTGCTCACTTTTTATTACTGAGTGCTGTCACTGATGACAGCTTTCTGCCATAGCTGGAAGAACATGCTGGCCAGGTTACAAGCGTTCTTCCTGAGCTAGAGGCCTTTAAGGAGAGGAGCTGGATGCTTGAAGTTAGCAGGAGCTGGAGATACTTGTGGCTTTTCTCCTGACAGAAATATGAGAGCTTTCATCAGCTTCCTCCTTTCACCCTCCTCCAGTGCTTGGAAAGGAAGCATTTTGGCAGATATTCAGCTACATCCCAAGCTATGCAGCCTGATTATCCCAAGTAACGTCTCCACTTGAATCTGGCACATAACAGAGTCTGTGGGCTTCTTCGTGCCCCTAAAAGCTCTTCTCCCCCTTCACAAATCAGAAATGAATCCTTCAGCTCCCCTGGAGCAAGGGGGCTTAGAGTGAATTCAAAGGTTGGCCGAAAGGACACTAGAATTAGGATTCCTGATCAGAAGCCTCATCTGAATCTGACTTAATAGGCTATTCATTGAGAACTACTGACTTTCGCCACTGCCGTCCCCATCTGAAATCACAGGAATGCCGAGTGTGGATAGAATGGAAACAGTATGAGAATTTACAAGGCAGGGTCCAGCCAGTTAAAGGGGTGTTTCTGGGGCAGATTCCTTTGCTAGACTTTCTGGGCGTCTGAGAAATGAGTTCAGAGGCTATTGGAGCACTGTTTTCCAGAGCAGCTGCAACAGGGAGACACTCGATTGTTTTAAGCAGGCTGCAGCCCATGTCATTAGCCTCAGAGCAAATTAAAGCAATGTTAACTGCCTTGGAGACTGGCTAGCCTGTCTGAGCCCTCCTCCTACTCTCCGAGGGAAAACAAACACCTAATGTACACAGTATTTAGTTGACTAGGAGTGTTTGTATGGTTGCAATGCCTTGTGTGTGTCATCTATTTCTGCACTGGTCTCATGAAACACTGCACTTAAGAGACTTGCTCCTTCTGGCTTTACTTTCATATTTTGTAGAAGAATGCTAGAAGAAAATACCAAATAATTTCTATATATCAAATGGTCAAATCCCTGCACTACTAATAACACACCATGCAACTAAAATTAAAAAGGAGTTTGTTCTGGAATCTAAAATACATATTTTATAGAAATTGCTAAAGCCTTCTTGTGAGTGCAAGAACTATTAGGTTTCCTCCCAGTCTCCTAGCTGACTTTTTCTTTTTTTAACAAGCGCCTGGAATTTAACTCCTCTTTCCTTCCTGCTTATGGCATTGGGAAACATTTGACCAGGGTGCTACAACCACGCAGCCGAATCTGCAACACACCCACAAACATTGTCTTGCTCTGCGGTGGCTTCTCAGTGCCCCATCTTTGAGAGCACGTCTCTTATTCAAAGAAGCCAGCTCAGTGTGTCAATAGAACAAATACAGCTAATACAGAAAAGGGAGGACTGTTTATGTGTGCAGCCCTGACAAGCACTCTCTTTCGTTCAGCACCACTCCTTGTTGCTGGATACAAATGACCTCTGCCAGAAGTATCGATGCAGATTCCACAGAGGGATTCAGCTGCGTTCAGGAGCATGTGCATACTGGGTCTCTACGGTCACTCACAGATTTTCATTTTCTTTCCTAGTGTACTGCTTAATCCCTTTTCTCCTTGTTTTGTCTTACTTGTAGGTCTGTGATTCAGATACAATGCTTGATCCAGCCTCATCAGTGGAGATGGTAAAGGTTTTAGAAGAAGATCCAATGGTTGGAGGAGTGGGAGGTGATGTGCAGGTGAGTACAATGAATTTCAGATTAACAGAGCAGTTTCAGCAGTAACTGTGCTGCAATCCTTGTCCGTGCTTGGAATTAAAGGAGTTGAATACGCTGGGCTGCCATTATAGAGGTTCTTCTGAGACCTTACCATTTCTATCTGTTGATTAAAATCCCTTATTATTGGATGTGAGCACTGCATGGTATGGACACCCATAGAAAGCAGACAAGCATGAGTCTCCCCAGTTTATGAGAAAAGTGAGGCACTGGGATTGTCGGGACTTTGTGGCATCTTTGAGACTCTGGGTATAACTGCCCACGCTACCAAAGACAATTTGTAGGGCAGCAAGGAACTGCTTTGGGAATAGGCGTCCCAAAGCCAAGTCCAGCACCCCAAGCACTTTAATTATGTCACTATTAGCAGCCAAGATTTTTACGAATAAAAATCTTTTTAAATCCAGTGCACCATACAGTCTATGTATTGTTAGATTGCATTTCTGCCAGCCAGGACAATGGAAAGCCCCCAAGTCAGACCAGCTTCACTTTTATTAGGATTTCTAGCATTGCAGAGTTTGGCTGACAGCTGCAGCAAAAGGCTGTTCGTTCTTTTTGAGACAATTGCTTCTGCTGCAACTTATGAAGAGAAATGCATACGAACATTTCATCTGGCTTTGGGATTTGTCCCCTGTAGTCAGTAGGGCTTTTATGTGAGATGGAGGAAAAAGGGCCATCTATATGTGCAAGCATTTGCTAGTGAAGGCCCTAGTAGTCAAAAGTATTTCAGACATGTGTCTCTTAACTCTAGAAATTGAGTTTCCCACAGAAGCCTGAATATCTTTGCAGGTCTGGGCTGACCACAAACCAGGCATCACACTTAACCTACACATGTGTGTACAAATGGAGGGAGACAGTACATGTCCAGCTATGAAGGAGAACAGTTCATAAGCACCTGCACAGAAAGATGGGAAGGAAATGTGTGCTCTGGGAGGAATGTAGGCAGAGTGAAGGCTCTCTGCTTTCTCTTTCCCGGTTGACTTTCTAGTGTACAACAAATAATAAACTTGAACTAGGCTTGAGTCTCTCCGTAAGTCCTGGTGCTTCTAAAACATTTTGAAATTAATTGAAACAGAGACAAATGGGTCCTTGGGCTTCCAACACGTTGACATGACATAAATTAGGGTCTTAGGAGTGAAAGATCATATGTTTTTCCTAGTCGCAGAACAATTTTTTCCAGTCCTAAAAGGCCACAGATTTCCCTGCAGTTCCCCACACTGAGAAGATACTTGGCACCTTGCGCAGGGCTGGTGCAGCCACCTTGTTACACATTTCCTTGCTGCATCCTCCAGCATAGGTTTACGCTGAGAACGTGGCAGTGAAGATGGTGACTTGGAAACCAGCACACTCTCTTATCTCCATTTAGCGTTCATTCTCTTAGACTATGTCTTTGTAGGTCTGAGCTTTTGGTAAGCTTTGGGATATATAGAAAAGATTGAGCCCTTCACGGGGGCAGAAGCATGACCCTCCATGGGGGTGCGGACAGCTAGATACAGTCATAGCTATGGATACTTGGCCCACACCTACTACCTTATATCACAGTATATCTAGGGGCAATATAACAGACTAATCTTTCACAGACAAATCAGATCAGACTGTTTCTTGTCTAATCAATCTGAGGTCAAAGTTCTAGGGCAAGCCTTATGGATACTGAAAATGTAGGCTAGAGATCATGCATTCAGCCTCCCTCATGCTTCAGCACAGCTTTAGGAGAGGTGCAAGAAGCTCAGTCCCAGAGCCGCTCCAGTCTGAGCCCAAGAGGGGCACAGAAGCAGGAGGCTGCCTGTGGGATCCCATCATCTCCTCTCAGGAGAGGCTGAGCCTTCAGATTCTTAACTGGGAATGACGAGAAAGGAAGAATGAGTCCAAGCACCAAGAAGCTTCTTGATGGAGAAGAGGAAAGGTTGAGAGAAAAAGAGAACAGTATTTTGATGCAACAGACTCATCTAAGACTTAACCTTGTCCTTCCTATCAGTGTCCTCAGCTGTAGAGGTGATGCCTGGATTTCTCCTGAGTTGTACACAGGAGCAAGGTTCTCCTTACATTTTGGTTAATGGTACTCGATCCTTTTCAAATTCCTTGTTCATCCAATGTATGTATTTGCTTTCTCAAGAGCTCATTTAAAATGAAAACTTTTTGTGTTTTCAGATTTTGAACAAATATGATTCCTGGATCTCCTTTCTGAGCAGCGTGAGATACTGGATGGCATTTAACATAGAAAGAGCCTGTCAGTCCTATTTTGGCTGTGTACAATGCATCAGCGGGCCTCTGGGAATGTACAGAAACTCGTTACTCCATGAATTTGTGGAAGATTGGTACAATCAAGAATTTATGGGCTCCCAGTGCAGCTTTGGAGACGACAGGCATCTAACTAACCGAGTGCTAAGTCTGGGCTATGCAACAAAGTACACAGCTAGATCCAAGTGCCTTACCGAAACACCGATAGAATATCTCAGGTGGCTGAATCAGCAGACCCGCTGGAGTAAATCGTACTTTAGAGAGTGGCTTTATAATGCAATGTGGTTCCACAAGCATCATTTGTGGATGACTTATGAAGCTGTAATCACTGGATTCTTTCCTTTCTTCCTTATCGCCACAGTCATTCAGCTCTTCTACAGGGGGAAAATCTGGAACATCCTCCTTTTCTTGTTGACCGTTCAGTTAGTTGGCCTGATAAAGTCTTCCTTTGCCAGCTTCCTTAGGGGGAACATTGTCATGGTTTTCATGTCACTCTACTCAGTGTTGTACATGTCAAGTTTACTGCCAGCAAAGATGTTTGCAATTGCCACAATAAACAAAGCAGGGTGGGGCACGTCAGGAAGAAAAACCATTGTAGTCAATTTTATAGGACTGATTCCAGTCTCCGTTTGGTTTACAATCCTCCTAGGTGGCGTAATTTTCACTATCTACAAGGAATCAAAAAAGCCATTTTCTGAGTCGAAACAGACGGTTCTCATCATTGGCACAATACTCTATGCATGTTACTGGGTTATGCTTTTGACTTTGTACTTCGTTCTTATCACCAAATGTGGCAGGCGGAAGAAAGAGCAACACTATGATATGGTGCTAGATGTATGATGTTTCTGCGGGAAGTTACCCAGAGCGTTTTAAAGCAACCCAACAACCTTATAGTATTTGTGGCATCAAATGAATGTTGCCAAGGGAAATGGATCATTGCTGCTGGGAATAGGACATTTATATTCCTCTGGGTTCATTTTCATCCTGCCAAAGTAAGAAAACACAAACAATAAAAAATGATTTTTTTTCCAAGGGGGGAAAAAAGCAAACCACACAGATTCGACCTGTTCGCAAGAAAATGGGAGGACTTCTTTGTTTATGCACTTTTTAGTTGTGCATATGCCTGACAGTGTTATGTTCTATATACCTCACTGGTCATGCTTATGTGTGTGGACAGGAAGGAAAGGAGTTTGGAGAATCAAGCAAAGGATCTTACAACCCCTTGCAACCTAATTTATGGACTTCTCTTTTTTTTTATAGTTCTGTTTATAGGAAGGGTCTTTTGTGTTAGGCTGCCAAATGTAATGCCAAAGGTAAAATTTAAGAGGCTATTGGCTGAGCTGTATTTTTATATTATTGTATTATTTGTATGTGTGTATTTTTAAGTCAATTTTTTTTTTAAATCACATATTTTATATTTTACTTATCTGCCAAAAAGCTGCCTCCCTAACATGTTGTTCTTTATCCTTTTTAAATAAGTTTGGAAAAAAATCATATTTGTTCCCTAAAAATCTATGCTGATTCGATATTGTTCACAACAGGAAGAATAAAATATTGCTCTGCATTTTTACAACTGATGAACGGTTATTTCTGTGAAAAAATATTTAAACGTGCTCTTTGAAGACATTTATTAGGAAAGGCCCAACATTGCCAGTTTTTGGATATAAGCATATTTGTGCATACAAAAAGGCCAAAGGGGTAGATATGTGCAATCTGGGGTTTGTTTTGTTTGGATAACATTGTAAAAGGGAACCTTGCTTCTCTGCTAAGAGCATACCATCCCTGCCATGTGTAATAGCCATGCAGGAAGTCAGGCCTTGATGCCACTGGAGTTTATAGCAAAGCTTCCACTGATTTTACGTGGGACTCGATGAGTCAAAAGTTTCTGTTGTGGAGAAACATTGGACACCTGAAACTATTTTTGACTTCACTGATGGCTGCGGTTGCTCATAATCTGTCAGTACCAAGCAGATAGTTCAGATTTTTGAGTTTCAACAAATACATGGAAGGAAAAAATGTCAAAACCTTCACAATGGGGATGTCTTACTGTAAAACTTCTACATTGCACTTCAGAGAGTTTACAGTCAAAATAAACATCAGCTTCTCTGACGTTCAGTATAATCCAAACCCCTGTACTGAGCCCAATAATTTATGTTTGACTAAGGCATATCTACCAGAAAAGAAGTCAATTTCTATCCGAAAACTTCAAGTGATAGCAAATCCATCACTTCCTTGGTGCCTAACCATCAAAGACATTTACTTTGGACTATGGTTTTGAGAAACAATATTCAGGACTAAATTCTTACAGCCTTTCACCAGCCAAAGGAATGTGGCATTGAGCCCTAATATACAAGTAAAGAGCAACAGAAAGCCAGCTGCATACAGATATATGCCCTTTTTAGATTCTGGTATTAAAAGCACTGTGGTAAAGCAGAAATCAGCATATGATGCTTAAAGAACTTAGAAGCATTTTCAGCTTCTCTTTTTTACGCAGACATGAATAGATTCTGCTGTAGAGTGAACTGCACACACACTACCTTATTTGTCTGATTATCTTGAGGTACATGGTTGCTTGAAAGTCATACTAATATTATGTTAATGACTGGAGAGTTGACTCGTGTTGGTTACAAAATAGGACAGTATTAAAAACAAGCAAAAGAAACAGCAAAAATTAAAAAAAAAACTTGACTATGCCTTTTAACTATTTATGATGTAAGTTAAAGCTTGGGTTAACATTCAAATGTCAAATAAATCCTCTCATTCTATAAAAAAGATTGAATTAATTGCCTGTATTTATTCTAGCAATTATTCAATGTACTTCCAGTATAGGTTGTATAGTATAATTGTTACTTTCATAAATAAAATATTTTTGATAAGATTATGACTAATTCACGTTGTTTCTGGTCAGCACTTCTGCTCTGAAGCCATAAAAACGCAGAGCTTGAGCGATACTATTAGACTGTTACCTGCCAGATTTCCAAGTAGAAATTCGGTAATGCGTAGCACAGCACCTGGGAAGAGCGTGCCTAGCGGGAAGGATGGGTTGGACTGTGCTCTGGAGGATGGTGCAGGAACTGAGTCACAAGTCTCCCCCACGACTTTTCCTTCATGCCCTGAGAGCCCCATATGTGTGTAGCGCACAGACTATGTCTGCCTCTGCCAGTAGCGGCTAAATTAATTTGGTCAGA